TCATGCCACGCGCCTTCGCCATCAGATATATCAGGTTCGACCTCAGTCGAACCAGGACTCAGGCCAAGTGCCTTCGCCATCAAAATACATCAAGTTCGACCTCAGTCGAACCGGGACTCAGGCCACGTGCCTTCGCCATCAGAATATATCAGGTTCGACCTCAGTCGAACCGGGACTCAGGCCAAGTGCCTTCGCCATCAAAATATATCAAGTTCGACCTCAGTCGAACTAGGACTCAGGCCACGCGCCTTTGCCATCAGAATATATCAGGTTTGACCTCAGTCGAACCGGGACTCAGGCCAAGTGCCTTCACCATCAAAATATATCAAGTTCGACCTCAGTCGAACCGGGACTCAGGCCATGTGCCTTCGCCATCAAAATATATCAAGTTTGACCTCAGTCGAACCGGGACTCAGGCCACGTGCCTTCGCCATCAGAATATATCAGGTTCGACCTCAGTCGAACCGGGACTCAGGCCAAGTGCCTTCACCATCAAAATATATCAAGTTCGACCTCAGTCGAACCGGGACTCAGGCCAAGTGCCTTCGCCATCAAAATATATCAAGTTCGACCTCAGTCGAACCGGGACTCAGGCCACGCGCCTTCGCCATCAGAATATATCAGGTTCGACCTCAGTCGAACCAGGACTCAGGCCAAGGGCCTACGCCATCAAATTACATCAAGTTCGACCTTAGTCGAACCAGGACTCAGGCCACGTGCCTTCGCCATCAGAATATATCAGGTTTGACCTCAGTCGAACCGGGACTCAGGCAAAGTGCCTTCGCCATCAAATTATATCAGGTTCGACCTCAGTCGAACCGAGACTCAGGCCAAGTGCCTTCTCCGTCAAAAACATATCAGGGTTCGACCTCAGTCGAACCGGGACTCTAGCTAAGTGCCTTCGCCATCAAAATATATATCAGGATTCGACCTCAGTCAAACCGGGGCTCAGGCTAAGCACCCTCGCCCTCAAAATATATTGGGTTCGACCTCAGCCAAACTAGGGCTCAGGCCAAGTGCCTTCGCTTTCAAATTTATTAGGGTCAACCTCAGCCGCACTAGGGCTGGGCGAAGAAAAAACCAATTGCCGTCATTACAAGGTGACCGCCCCTCCCCGTTCATGTCAGGCCAAAAAGCCGTCATTATCAATCCAAAACTGACATGACGACCTCGATCGAATTCAAGGGCTGATCGTCCCTCCGAACATATCCATAAAAGAAAAAGAGAAAAACGGAAGACAGAGTAAAGCGCGAGACAAATGATGGAAAAAAAGAGTACAATTGTCTACAGAGTTAGGAACGCGGGTACTCCCCGGCTTACATCCGGCCTTGGCCGGTCGAGACAAGAAAGAAAAATACAGGAAAAAACAACAAAGAAATAACCGAGCGAGCGCCGACCGACAAACGGGTATAAAGAAAAACAACAAGCAACGATAAATCTTTTCTTCACTCGGCGCTACCACCGCCGTCATCGTCTCCACCACTCGCGCCATTGTTAGCCTCGGGCGTCGCCACATCATAACCACAGTCGGCACGAGCTTCACGAGCCTTCTGGCGTGCCACCTCGAAGACGGTCTCGGTCACAACACCCGCCTCCAATAAGTTCTTGTAAACATCGCGTTGAGCTTCGGCGTAAACCCAAAGTTCGTGAGCCTGGTGGGAAATGGCAGTATGCGACGAACCAGTTTGGCTCTGCAGTCGCAGGTTCTCCTCCTCTAAGGCCGCAATACGGTCCAACATAACTTGGGCCTCCTGCTCAAGAACAGCAATCCGCTCCTCGAGCCCCGCCTCTTTAAGGGCCGTTGTCTCCCTCTCCGACTCAAGCCGAGACTCGTGCACGCGGATCGCCGCCTCCAACGCCCCAGCCCTCGACGAAGCACCCCTTTTCGAAAATTTCAAGGCAGCAACCTCGCCTTCCAACGCCGCCAGTTTCCCACTCCATTCCGCAGCCGCCTCCGCTGCTTTGACTCGGTTCTGTTCCGCCTCCAGTTCCATCTCCCTCAACTTACCCTGCAGGTGCGCACACTCAGCTGCGATTCCCTTTCCCACCTCAAGCTCCTCGTCTTTCCGACGGATCTGCTCTTCAAGAGCACTTTTACTGCCAAGCGCCTGCAGCAACTGCTGGTCCCGCCTCGCCAACTCCTCGCCCAAAGCCCGATTACAGGGATCGTCCAGTAAACGCTCGTGCAGCCTTCGGCACCGTTCACGATAACGGCAATATTTCCCCAGCATCTGCAGGAAGATCCTCGAGCGAACCTTGGCTCTGCGGATGTTCTCCACCTCCAACAAGTAAGTCTGCAAAACAAAGGTAAGGAAAAGTTGAGGCAAAGCTAAAACAAAAAAAAAAAAAGAAGAGAAAACAAAGAAAGGAGAAAAGGAACTAGGAGCGTACTACGTACCCTCAGGCCCATCACGGCCACTTCATCCATCACTTCAATATCCGAAACGCTCCTCAAAGACGCGTTCTCGGCTTCCGAACACAACAACTCAAACTGCGACACCAAGCTAGTTCCTTCAGTTAGTAAGTTCAAATCCGAGGGAACCTCAATAAAACGGGCCGGCCCCCCTGCGCGCACCGTAGAATTGGTAATACCCTCCTCGAACATGCGAACGTCGTCGGGGTCCAAATCGGACTCAGATTCATACTCGTCCTCCACCACGTCCTTCCCCCTCTCCGCCACCGTTGGGGTAGAGCAACTCGCCGTGGCCAACACTGGTACATCAGAGGTCTCTACGGCGGCCTGTAAGGATCGACCCTCCGCCTCGGCAACAGGAACTTCGGACAGGGTCGTCGAGACAGCAACATTCCCTTGGCTAGAACTAACAGGTTCAACTTCGACTAACTCCTTCTCCTCGCCAGCAAGCGCCACAGCCGTGCCGCCCTCCGAATCCGTCGGGGGAGAATCCAAGTTGATCACCGATGGAGGAGCCGCCACAAATGCCACTCGCCGTTTCTGCGAAGGCCTATCCTCCTCCTCATTCGAAGGCGAGCCCATCCGAGAACGAATAAGCCCGGACGGCCTCTCATCTTGTGGCATAGCCCGCGGTTGCTGGCGATTCAACCGACGCCGCCCTCGGTACTCGATGAGGCACAGGCGCAACAGCTAGCCTAGCAAGTGCACCCGGCCGACGGAAAGCCAATTGTGGAGCTTTGGCACGACGTGGTCTCTCTAAGTACAATGAACAAACGAATCAATAGACGCAGTCAGAACAAAACGAAATAGAAAAGAGAAAGGACCGAAATTCCACCTGTCACGGGCCTGCGACCATGCCTCTCCCAGAAAGCCGCCCAGGTGCGAATGCCCGCAGTACGAGGAAGCACCGCCTCGACCCAGTCTCGGATCCCCTCCAAAGGAGGCGGCGGCAACTTTTCAACTACAAAAACGAAGGTAAATCAATAACCATAAGTACAAAGCATGAGGAAAGTCGAAATAGAGCGGATGCCCAGTCAGGAACGAGGTCTCACGTGCAAAGTTCCAGACTTCCGGGAATCCGTTTGGGTCCGCCACCAGGTGTTCAGTCCGAATATAGAAAAAATTCTCAAAGGAATGACGAATGACCTCATCATCCAGCCCAACCATTAAGCCCTTCGATCCTCGTGGGCACGCGTGGATCATGGTGCCGCGGATCTTTTGGGGAGCGAAAAGACTGAGCACATGCCTTAGAGTGACCTCCCTACCCGCTGGCTCCGCATATTTGATGAACATGAGGAGCAATTTGTAGAGACAAAGAGAAAGTTGGGCCGGGCATACCTCGTAATAGCGACAAAAGTCTACTATCAGCATCGGGAGCGGGAGTGTACACCCCACCTGGAAGGGATAAGCATAGAACGAGCAATACCCTCGACGGTCAATCTGTACCCTGTCCTTGGTCTTCGCAAGAGCGATCTCAGCATAATGTGGGATATGCCATCGCTCCCGCATTTGAGCTATCCCCACTTCCCCCATTAAAGAAGCAATGTCCCCCAGTTCCACGCCGCCCGGTGCACTGAAATCCATCACTTGATCTCTTGGGTGAGTTAGAATTTCGTCGACCAAAGGAATTTCCTCACCTCCCACCAACTCTAGCCTTTCATCTGCTGGAGCGGGATTTTCGACCCCCTGAGAATTAGCCGAGCGATTGCCGCGAGAAGAAGTGCCTGCCACAATCGATTCACGAGCAAAAGAAAGAAGAATTTTGACAAGGGAGACGGAGAAATCAATGATGATAATGATCGGAAGAATAGCGAAAATGCGATTTGACAGAAGAAAAGGCTTCTCGAGATTTCTCTTAGAAGAACAATGAACATGTAAAGAACAAAATGACACATCTTCTCTAGTTATAAATAACGAACTCTACCTGCACGGGACCCAACGATCGCCATTAATACATAACCGTGCACGAAGCGATTCGGTTTCATGAAAACGTGCGCCATTACGAACGACTGCGCGGGATGATGCTCCACTCGCCAACCAACAGTTCAATTCCAAAAGTTCATTTTTAAGGACCCTACCTGATCACGCCGCTCTATCCGTCCGCCGAAGTCGACTCGAGCACGACCTCGACGAACGGAGGGACTAACTGTATTGGCAGATATTCGACCATTTTGCGACCAGGGGGTCAACCCCATCACGACCACTTTGTAGTAAATGGTCAACACCGCTTACTCTTAACTTATGATAGCTGTCCTTAAAACAAACGAGGGGGCGTCTCCACAACAAAAGGAGGGGCCCATTCGTGACAAGATGAAAAAGCCTGAGGCTATAAATACCAAGAAAGATAACCTCCCAAGGGGGGCTTCTTCCCGGAATATTCCAGAAATAGAAAGATATACTCCATAAGTGGAGCAAGAAACAAGATCAATGTAAGATCCTGAACCTCTTCAAGGAGAGGCAGGTCAAGTCACCTTGATGAATAAAACCCCATTTATATTGTTCTATAATCGATTATTTCTGTGTTTCAAGTTGGTCTTCTAGTTCAGTGAGTAATTATGATTGACTATGATTTACCCTTTGATTCATTTTGATTGTTTTCGCTTACAAAGTAATTAGTATCTTTTGAGTCAAACAGGAACCAAATTAACTCACTGCTTGTAATAATCCTTAGAAGTATTTCATTTCACGATTTTTTCTACATTTGTACAAATCATCATTATTCCTCTGTTTACCTACAGTACTCATCAAAACCACATTGCAGAATCTGCTCTGCTCGTTTTCTCAAAAACCCAATTATCACAAGTTCACAAACGGTAAAGTTTCCTGCATTTCAATTGAAAAAAATGTTAATTTTGGTTCTGGGTTTTGTTTTGTTTAGCTGTTAAAGTAAACCTGATTTAGCTAGCCATACTGCATTGTAGTTCTGATGTTCGAATTTTGATCAAAGCCACCACCTTTATCATTTTCCTTTGATGGGTGGCTAAATAGTTCCATATCTGCATTTTTTTTTGGTTTATTTTCTGATTATTTCTTAGCATAGTTCTTGCCTAAATTTCTTCTCTTTTTTTTTTTTTATGAGGATGGTGCTCAGACCAGCTTGCGTGCACCTCGACTATTCTACGTAGCAGCTGCTAACTCCCACCAGCACAAGTATTGGGTAACATTTTTTCTCTATTTAGTAACATTTCATTTATTGTATTATGATTGTGATTATCCATGTAATTATCAGTCTCAAGTTCCTTCTCTTTTTGTTTTATTTTTGATCTATATACTGTTCTGCATGTAATATTGCTAATTCTCTTGCAATAGAAAAAAAGAGATCTCGACCTGCATTCTGGTTTCTTAATTCTATGAGCTAAAGTAGTTTTTGGAACAGTGATGACGAAGAGGAAGAAAAATAAGAGCTTGAGGAAGGAAGAAATAGCAGAAGACTGGTGTTTTGTTTGCAAAGATGGTGGCCAACTGCTAATATGTGATTATGGGTAAGTTTTTTCTTCCAACAATCTTGTAATTTATCATTAGTTGTTTAATGTACCGTGAATATTATTGTGTCTCATTACTTAATATTGTTGGTGAATCTTATACTGTCTCTTTTAAAAGGAAGAAGGATTTATACTCAGTTTGTGTTCACTTAACGGAGGTCTGAATTTGAATGGTTTGACCTTAGACCATTAAGTACATTTCTTTTTTCATTTAACCATTTAATGAGTCTAGGCTTTTTAAGCGAAGCAGCATTTGCTATCTTCTAATTTCTAAATTTAATCACATAAGATGTTAAAATAATTTTCATGTAAAAAATTGTCACAATCTAAGCTATGGACCATAACAGACACCGAGTGTGCTTGCCCACTTAGTGAACCAACTATTAACAACAATCTCATCATTCATCAACTCATATAAATACTCAAAGTTGCTTAATCAATATCAAATGATGTATTCATCACAAATAGAGCTTAACATATTCACAACCTTAACTCCACATTGTCCATAACCAAACTAAATAAATAACTTTGACAGGAGAGAGTTCATGTAGCGTGTGTAGATTCATAACAAACACGACCTACTAAACAAGTAAAAGAAGGAACAGAGCCAACAAGTTCCCACGGGAAGGCAAGTGGGGCTAACCAAGAATGCTAGCTTGACTGCAACACAAAGGTGCAGCTATATATATATACACACACATACATACATACATACATATTACTTACTGCATCATATTACAACTAGGGACTTTTCTAGTGAAATAGTCCTTTTTAAATCTGAGTCAAAATATTCTATTACTGAATCAAAAAACTTCTTCTCCATTCTGCTTGAACCTTGTTTTAGCAAGCTTATCCGCTGCCTGGCTTCCCTTCCTATATATATGCTTGGTTCACCAAGTCTAGTCACGAGGAACCTACAATCAGTTAAGATATGTGAGTATTTAGCAGTCAATCTTAAGCATACTTGCAAGCTCTTTTGAAACTGAATTAATCTCCAAAGGAGTGAAGTTATATTGAAGAGCCATTTTTAGTCCTCATAGTAGAGCCAGGATTTCAGCTCCTGTGAGATTTGTTTTCCTTGTTTTCATAAGGAAGCCTTTCATCCATAATCCTTTATGATTTTGTATAAACCCACCAAGTCCTCCAGTTTCAGAATTAGGTTGCACCGCCCCGTCCGTGTTAAGCATAAAGAAGTTTTCTTTTGGAGGGTTCCACTTAATATTCATTGAAATGGATAGTTTTTAAAGTTGAACACCTTTCTGCAAGGGTATGGAACTCAATAGCTTCAGTAAGAATTTGTTTGAAGTTAATGTTATCTTTATTATTATCAAATACATTGTTGTTTTCTATTAAGCCAATTATGCCATAAGCAAAAAGGTGCTAAGGAGTACCATGGAAGGATAGAATTATAAATGTTAGTTTTATTAGTACACATACCTTTGATCCCGCTCATAATTTCAACGTGAGAAATGGGTTTATTGATGGTACTATTGATAAGGTGCTCATCCCAGAATTTAGGAAGCTCGAGTTGTTTTTGTTTTCTCCTGCCTTGTGTTAGGTTGATGAGGTTCTTGTCGCTTATTTATTGATCTGATCGTGGTTGTTGCCGGCTGGGACCTGCTTGACTGTTTTGAGGAGCTGCGGCATTTGGTTGCTGCAAAGATAAATTGACCTGAGTGGTTTGGATTGGCATTGCAAAGTTGTTCATGTTCTGTTGCACATTGGTTTCCATTGGGTTGTAGGAGTGTTGTTTCTGTCCATACAAAAGAATGCCCAGAAGTGGATCCTCTGCTACAGTTTGGGTGGTGGAGCCAGACTCCAGAGGTGGAAGTTGTTCGAGAGCTGAGATCTTGGGTTATAGGAAGGTGTTGGTGTTGGGAATGTCATGAAGAGGAGGTTCAACCAAGCAGCTTGGTCAAGTTGTTCAGGTTCAGGTTGGCTATACCATTCAATAGGCCTTCTGTTAAGATCTGAGGGTACCAGGGGTCCTGGATTTGAATCTGGATTGAGGGATTGCCTCTCATTCCTAGCTCCAACAGGGATTTTTTTTTGATAATCGTGATGTCCGGACCAGTTTGCGTGCACACTAATTCCACGGGATACCTGCCACCTACTACCAGCAATAGGTACCAGGTAACTCTATCCACTAAGACTTGGATAGATGGGAAGAAATCACCTAGTGTTTTTGTCTCCGCCGGGATTTAAACCTGAGACCTCCATGGTTCTCACCCACTTCATTGACCACTAGGCCATACCCTTGGTGCTACATATAAAGTTAAAATTGTTGAGTTGGGGTGGTGTATAGATATTGGGGTTGGAGGCTAGCACGAGGGAGTTTGTCGAGTTGCTATTTCTTTTTGGGGTTGAGTTGCTCTTATTTGGTAGTTGTTTCGATGAAGGTAGTTGTTGCTGGGACTTCTTCCACTCCACTCCTTTCGTGACTGTTGCCTCAGGTTGTATGGAGTTCTTTTCAGACTCAGTGGGTTTCAAAGTTTCTGTGTTCTTGAGTAGTAGGTTTATGGTGTACTGCGTTATTAGTTCCCGTTACTTCATTAGGGTAAAAGTAGTCAGATTTGGATTTATATTCTTTGCTTTTCGAACTAACGCTAGAGTTACCCTTTGTAGTTTGTAGTATGGTTTACTTTATTGTTTTTGAAGTTTAAGCACAATCTGATTGTGGTTCTTCAGTGTTGTACATTATCAGATTTAGAGCCAGGTTTGGATTAGTGTCTAGATTTGGAGGTGTTTTGCTTGTTTCTTGGACATATGGACAATTTAGAGTTCTATGACAGTGACTTAGCCTTTTACATTTAAGACAAATGTTGTTGAAGCCCTTGTAAGAGATCTTTTGTTTATGACGGACAATAAAAACCTCAGTTAGTACAGGATTTTCTTCGAAACTCGGTGGATAATGGGCCCGCCCCTCTACCCTTCTCCACTTAAATACCAGGCTTTGCTTTGCATGGTGTGGGGGCTTGAACCTGTGACCTAAGACACAAATCCACCACCCTTTGCCACTTGAGCTAGGCCCTGGGGGCAGTTAGTACAGGATTTTCTAATGGCACCTGGATGCATATTCAAGCATATTTTCCTCGACGTGACTTTGTGCAGTAATTGATCCTGAGTAACTATCCAATCATAAATCCTATTTTAGAAAGGATTTCTAAGTCATAAAATTTTGTGGGGAGGTCTGTCGGTCTTTGCCCAGATCGCTATATATGATATAAAGTGTTGATATGAGGCGGCAAATGTTGGTTCCCATTTTTGTACTGTCAAGAAACTGTTATCTGTGAAGTATGAACCATGGCCCATGCAAGGCTTTGGTATAAATTTCAGACTTGCTAAAGTTAATCAGATAGAAATCATAATTCCAAGATCGGTTAAATTAATTTTTTTTGGTTTCCAGATTGAATTAATTTTTTATTTACGAAAAAGGGCCAAAACTGTCCCTAACCTATTCGCTTAGGTTTTAAAATACCCTTCGTCCACCTATTTTGTAAAAACTGCCCTCACCGTTAAAAATCTGGCACATTCATGCCCTTATTTCTGACGGACCTTTGCTGAATTAAAAAGTATTTTATTATATATGACGTGGCAATTGCTTATTGGTCAAAATTAAAAATTCCGCTCTAACCCAGATCTGATCCGTAAATAACTAACTCACGATCCATCTTAGCCGTTCCAACCCGTTAAACCCTTTTTAGCCCTTTAAATACCCGATTCCATGCCCGACTCATGATCCAATCATTATTTAGGTTTCGTTTGTCAAAATTTTATATTCTTCTTTTTATTAATTCATTATTTGGTACCCTATCCCTTGTCCTGTTCATCTTCCCCAACTTAATCACCGCTGACAGTTTCCCAACCAAATCACCCGACGAACTGTGAAGCTAATATGCTCACATGATTTCAATTAACTCCAAAAAATTACATGGTGGCACAACAAATATAGCTTTGGCAGAAAGATAACTTATTAAACTATAAAATCTTAAAATAAACCATTAATTTAATTCCAAAGAATACTAGATTTCACTCAGAAAATTGATATAATAAAAAGATGTTAATTAAAATTAAATTAAGGCCGAAAAATCTGAGTGAGAGAGGGAGATCAGTGGGTGTTGAAGGGTGAAGATCTGAAAGTTGAAGCCAATGGTGGTCCTCTGTCGGCAATGGTGAGTTATTGTACTTTGGCCATGGAGGAGGATGATTAGAGATAATGTGGAGTGGGAGGGCAATGATGGTAGAGGAGAAGTTAAGAGGTGAAGTAAGGGCATTTTAAAAAGCAGATCATGAGTCGGGCATTGATATTTTGGATCATGGAGTAGGCTAATAAGTGGATGTGGGGTGAGGTTTTAATTTAATCCAATAGGAAATTGACTCATAATAAGTAATAAAAAATTTTCTTAATCAAAATAGGACCGTTAGTTTTTCAGGGTTTGGGGGCCAGAAAGTTGACGTTGGAGGCAACTTTTACAGAATAGGTGGACGAAGGGTATTTTTATACCTCAGCAAATAGGTTAGGGACAGTTTTGACTCTTTTTCGTTTTATTTAAGGTAGTTATACCGCAATTATCTTCCCAGGACCTTAACGATTAGAGCATTTTTCGGGTTTCTGTATAATCTAATTTTATCTTCAGAAGTTAAAGGAGTAAAATTGGACAGCCAATTTTTGTTTGTCATTTCATCTTCTAGGTTTATAGAGTTCGAATCTTTTCCTAGTATTTATGTTGTCTTGAATGGTGGTATTTGTTTTAAGGAGTGAGCTGATAGAACAACGTTTATAGTTGTATTCTCAACTTGCTTAGGATTATCAAAGGCTTGGTTTCATTGCAGTAGGTTGAGGGTTTATGGGGTTTATAGAGTTAGTAATAAGAGTAGTTTGCAAGTTTTTCGGGCTTATTTATTTCTCTGGGGTTTAACCTTGATGGTTTGAAAAGGGGTTATTTATTAGGAGAGGAAGTTTGTTACGAGTCAAGCCTATGGCACATATGGTCCGCTTTGGCCCTAGGCCTGCACGGATTTGTCCATTGGGCTATGCCATCATCGAGCCTTCACTTTTGTATCCCATTTCGATGTGAGATTCGCCCAAGGTGATATGTGCACTCCTTTTTCAGAAGCTTGCCAACCTGAAGCCTGCCAGTCCTGCTTGACCCGCCCTCATCAGACCCCCCTCCATCAGGGGCATCACATTCACCTCCCCTTGGGACTTAGCGTCCTCGCTGAGGTTTGCCCTACCATCGTAATGAGGGAGATTCGGCTCTGATACCGTATTTGTCAAGGGTTGAAAAGGGGGTTATTTATTAGGAGAGGAAAGTCTATGTCTAGATTCATCAGTGATTTGGCAGTTTCGCTAATCAATTGTAGTTAGGGTTTGAGTTATTGTTATGCTTTGTGCTTAGTACTTACAATTCCATACTGAGAAGGTCCAAACTTTTGGAGAGATTTAATGTGGGGATCTATTGTAGTAGACAATAGGGAGCACTATCTAAAATATAAGAGTAGTGGGGAATGGTAGAAGTAGAAGATATATGTTCCTCTTCTTACCTCTGATAAAATTTCTCTAACAGAGGGAAGTGTTGAGACTTTCCTAGGAAAATCTCTAGGGATGAAAGTAGACAAAAATTGGACCTTCTCTCTTTAACCCATTGTAAAGTCCCTAAAAGTTTCATAAGGTTTTAAGACTTTAAAGTACGCCGATGATGATTAGAAGTAATGTATTACATGGTAAAAGAGCCTGTGGACTAGCACTATATCACATGTACATGGCAATAAGTGTAGAAGGTGTATTGGAAGTGATCTAGGGACTAAGGAGAGTCCTAGAACCAAGCCAAGTTGGAAACTACGCAACATACTAAAATTTCGAATGAGTTTGCTCAATATTGGGTGGAGTCGTCTTGAACTCCTATGGTGCTGTTTGCACAAGGCTCTTCTTTGTTACTGATTTTTTTTTTCATCTTTCCTTTAGCCGAGGGTCTATCAGAAACAAACTCTCTACCTTCTCAGGTAGGGGTAAGGCTGCGTACACACTATCCTCCCCAGACCCCACTTGTGGGATTACACTGGATTTGTTGTTGTTGATGTTTTTTTTAATTTAAAAAAAGCTGATTTATATTTCAGCAGATGTTAGACCATTTAATTCGACTTTTTAGTGGGGTTGTCATGTTCAGGTTCTTAGAAATAATTTGGATTTTATTTGGTTTTACCAATCCAAATTTTTTGGAATTTCTTTGGTTCAAGAATGACCCTACGGAAAAATTGGGGGAAGAACTCCACCCTCCCTGTCTCGTTGATCAATGAAAGCATCAATTCTCGAGAATCAAAAGAGGATCTTGATCTGATTCGTCATATAGATTGTCTACACGAGCAATCCATTCATCTTTTCAGTCAGTATCCCTTTACAGTCTCCTATTTGACGTATAAACAACAAAATTGTACCAGCAACGCATTAGCCTAAAATTTGATAGTTAATTTGCAGCGCCAATAATAAGTGATGTTGTTCTTGCTCTTCTTGCTACTCAAATAAATACCAAATTTAAAATGTTAAACAAGTTGAACGTATACTAGGTTCCTTTGTATCATTTTTTCCATGTCTAATTGACATGTATGAATCCAAACACTCCATACATCTCTCTCTTTCTGTCTGTCTCTCCCTCCCCAGAGAACAACTGTAACCATGTTGAGGATTGTGAACCACAAAGCAGAGACGAAATAACTTGTATGCATTAAAGAGTATGACACCTCTTTTACTTCAAAAGTATTGATAGAGTTAATTGGTAATAACTAAGCTCGTGATCTAACTTGACAAATGTATAAAAAGGTTTTCTACAAGCAGTCCATAAGAAAAGCAGCATTCAGCTAATTTAATCGTTCTCACTCTTTCTGTTAGGGACTATATTTCCCTTTTAAAGAAGTATGCATGCATTTTAATTAATTTACCTTTTTGCCCCTGCAGTTTACTACACAACTTGGTTCATGACCAATTTTCTCTCTTTAGTGTTTAATAAACATATTGATGGTTTGGCAGGCGATGCCTGAAAGCTTATCACCCTCGATGTGTGGGGAAAGATGACTCATTTTTGACAAGTGATGGACGCTGGACATGCCGTAAGCTCTTGTTCTATTTTCTTCAAGCAAATCTGATACTGCAATATTCTCTTTTGTTTTGTGTCTGGAGATTCTTCTTTTGCTAAGTTATTCATTTCAAATAGTCAAGTGAAAAATGAAAAAGAATAGTACTTTTTAGGCAATGAGCTATTCATTTTCTAGCCATCAACCATGTATTCATTAAAATAAAGAGCAATATGGACTGATCTCCTACTCCAATGACTTGGCCCGCATTATATTAGGTATTGCTTACTTTATTGTATATGCTTGGATGAAGTCGCTGAGACGAATGAACATCTCAAGAGAGAGCAAGAAGCTATGAGTAAACAAAGTTCATGTATTCTTTAGCATTATAACTTCTCGGTATATGGGTAGATACATTGAATTATGTTTTGATTTCAACATAAAAGGCACAAAGTGGAAAAACACTTTAGAGTGATTCTTCATAAAATAATCCAAGTTTTGAGAAATATAGACCTATGAGATTATACTGGGTTTGTTGTTGTAAGAAATATAGAAATATAGAACATGAGAGAGAAAAATATATGGGAATGCGTGGTATTTACACCTTGCGCTTCTATCTATTTATACATATGTTTTGAGAGTTAGTAATGTACACTTGTCCAATGTGGGCCTACTAACCGTATGTACATACTTAACACTCTCCTTTAAGTTGGTGCATACATGTCATATATGCCGAGCTTCTTACATGTATAACTAACTCGAGAGCCTAGGAGAGATTTGATAAATAAGTTAGCAAGCTAATCATTGGATTTCATAAATCTTGTGACAAAAGTATCTTCTCTCGCAAATTGAACCAATCTCTATGTGCGTATCCTCTCATGGAATATTGGGTTTGAAGAAATGTGGAGTGCAACTTGATTGTCATTAATAAGTTCTACCTGAGTGGTCTCTCTAAACTTAATTCTTTCAGTAATTGATTAATCCCTATTAGTTCACAACTTGTAACAATCATGGCTTGATATTCCGCTTCAACACGGATCTTGCAACCACAAGGTGCTTTTTGCTCTTCTAAGATACTAAATTTGCTCCAACTAGAACACAATATCCAAAGGTAGAGCGTCTATCAAAGGGAGACTCGGCAACAATCAACATTTGTATGCTCAAGAATCTTCTTGTGTCCTTAATCCTCATAAAGTAGCACTTTTCCTAGAGCAGACTTAATATACCGAAGAATACAGGCTACTTTATTCCAATGAGCTTCACATGGAGAATCTGGAAATTGACTAATCATACCCACTGAAATGGAGATATCAGATCGTCTTATATTGAGAGAATTCAATTTCCCAAATGATCTCCCTTATCTCCTAGGTTCATTGAGAGGCTCCACTGACATGGAAGAAACTTGTCACTTGGGTCCATAGGTGTATCGATAGGTCTACAGTTTATCATCCTTGTCTCCTCAAGTATATCGAGAGCATACTTTCAGATGAAAATGCCTGATCTGGACTGAGCTACTTCAATACCTAAGATGTATCGTAACTTACCTAGCTTCTTGGTATGGAAATGTTGAAAGAGATGTTCCTTCAAGCTGTCAATACCTTCTAGAGCCAGTGAAAACTATATCATCAACATACACTACCAAGTAGATACGCAAATTAGAGGTATCAGGTATACAATACAGAATGATTAGTTTAACTTCGAATCATGCCAAACTCCTTATATTTGTGCTAAACTTAACTAAACCATGCTCTTGCTTTAGTAGAGCTTTGTACTAAAAGCTCCATGGAAATTGGTGCATTTCTATTTTTCACCTTTAGCAACACCGTTACATGCTAATCTTTTCTGAGTTTTTTCTGCAAATTGTCTGAACATAGGAGGATTGTAATATTTTTGCTGGGAAGCTTCCTAAAGCTTGTATTTCTTCACCAATGTGCACAGGCATAGTGAAATCATCTATTTTCTTAAATTTATTTTCTGATCTTAACCTACTTTTTATTTATCATTGTCACGACCCCAAAAATCCAACTAGTCGTGATGGCACCTAACCACAGCCCGCTAGATAAGCTAATTAACAACTATCCAATTTCAATAAAATAAATGAGACAATTAAATGAAAGAAAATATCTAAAACTGATACATTTCCCAAGGACCGTTAGTACAAATCATGAGCTTCTAAGAATAGAGTTTACAAAGCTGGTATGAAATAAATACATCATCTATTCGAAATGTACATAAACAAATTGTTAGGAATCTAAGGCTACCATGAGTAAGAGGCAGCTACGACCGGAACACCGGTACATCTTCAAATCCAGCTCCCGTCAATCTCAGCAATGTCAGCAGCCAACATCTGCACGCAAGGTGCAGAAGTGTACTATGAGTACAACCGACCCCATATACTCAATAAGTAACAAACCTAACCTTAGGTTGAAAGTAGTGACGAGCTAGAACAAAGGTCGGGTCCAACACCAATATCCAACAACAGTTCATAACAACGTAAAGCAAGTAATAAAAGAAGTAATTCAGAGATGAAATGCTCAACTTATTCATAGTTTCTCGAAAAATAGTTCTGCTTTTCAAGTATATCAGTGAAAGCCCAAATCCTTTACCGAAATCGTCGAAAATATGAGTAAGTTTGATAACAATAATTTCCCAAAAATCCTTTCAACAATAAATAAGATGTTCCATTTTTCCTTTCAGGTAGCCAGTGTAACATATATCACTATGCCCATATGTCAATATGTATGAGAAGTCATGAATGACGTGATACCGTACAACATGAGGAGTAAATGAATCTCTATGCATGTATGTCATATGTGCATGTCAATGCCATGTACCTCAGTGATGAACTCATGTACTCACACCCTCGGAGTACTTGATCTCACTGTCTCACACTTTTCACTCATCATGCTCAACCACTCAGTACTGTATATGGTCAATCCGGCCCAGGGAAGATCCATCCCGGAATATATACATCAGTTGACCATCAGTCACTCACTATTGAGTAGGGCCAAATCCATCCCCAGGTATATAAATGCTTCGGACAAGATCCATGTCCAGGGAAGATCCATCCCTTATATAATCAACCGCGCTTACTGGGGGTGTGTGCAGACTCCGGAGGGGCTCCTTCAGCCCAAGCGCTATATCAAGCCAATCATGGCACAATTCAATATAACCTGCTGCGTCGTGCAGCCCGATCCCCTAATATAATCAATATAACATACTGCGGCGTGCAGCCCGATCCCATAATATAATCAATATAACATGCTGCGGTGTGCAACCCGATCCCATAATATCGCTCACACTCAGGCCATCAGCCTCATTCAGTCATCAATCTCTCAAATCTCTCGGGCTCACAATGCCATGAAAAAATAATGATATGATGTGTCAATAAATGGTAACAGAGACTGAGATATGATATGCATATGAATTCGTATGATTGAGTATGTAATGCAATGAAAGCAGATAATTCAACAGCAGAAATGACCACTGTGGGTCCCAACAGGATAAGCATGTAGCCTAGACATGGTTTCTAACATGGATCATAGCTCAATAGCTCAAGAACGTAGAAGTTTCATGGTTACAGGTAAGATCAGGTAACTACATAGTACCACAGAAATAACGGAGTCACAATTCACACGGTGCACGCCCACTCCCGTCACCTAGCATGTGCGTCACCTCAACACCAATCACATAACACGTAATTCGAGGTTTCATACCCTCACCACCAAGTTTAGAAGTGTTACTTACCTCGAATAAGCCAAAAACCAATACCGAGCAGGCCAAACGACGCTCCAAAATGCCATCCCGCGCTTACCGAATTTCGAATGGCTCGAAATTAGCCAAAAACAACTCAAATACATCAAATAAAGCCCAAGGAAAAAATTTCAAATGATAAAGGTTGAATCTTTAATCAAAGCCCAAAAATCATCCCAAAAGTCCAACCCGGGCCCACACCTCGGAACCCGACAAAACTCATAAAATCCGACAACCTATTCAATTACGAGTCCAACCATACTAGTTTCATCCAATTCCGACTCCGAATCGATGTTCAAACTCAATTATTCACTTTAGAAAAGTTTTTGATAAAAATCCCCAATTCTCCAATCAAAATATGGATTAATTCAAAAATAAATTTCTGTGATCATATTAAAATACAAAAATTGTAGTTAGATACTGACCCCCATGAAAAGACGAGAAGAACGCCGCGAAAATCACCTCAATCGGAGCTCTAGAACTCAAGATATGCTCAAAATACCAAAATAACGCAATCTGATTTTTTTATACACAGGGATTCTCGCTTTTGCTATAAAAACTCCGCACGTGCGCATTTTCAGCTGTCATTTCCGCTTTTGCGGACCACTTTGCGCACCTGCGGGGTCGCAGATGCGGGCCCAACTTCACATCTGCGAAACACCAGCACCAGCTCTCTTCTTCGACACTAAAATGAGCATAATTCCCTCATACGATGTCCAAATTCGACGATTCTTTTTGCTATGGCTCCGTAATTACGATACGGACCTAATGCTTCAATCAAAACAGAAATTGGAGCCCATTTGCTTAATATGGTATCATTTATGCTTGAAAAACGACGTCGAAGCATAAAAAACGAGCGCAACACAACCCAAATCTATCCGAAACTCACCCGAGCCCCTCGGGACCCCGTTCGAACATACCAACAAGTCCCATATCATAACACGGACTTAGTTGAGGCTTCAAATCACGCTTAAAAATATCAAAACCACGAATCACACCTCAAATTGAACTTAATGAACTTTTGAACTTTCAACTTCCAAAACTTGTGTTGAATCATATCAAATCAACTCGGAATGACCTCAAATTTTGCACACAAATTCCAAATGACATAACGAAGCTATTCCAATTCCCGTAACCATAATCCGAACCCTATATCATCAAAGTCAACTTCCGGTCAAACTTATGAACATTCCAAGCTTTCAAATTTCCAACTTTCGCCAATTTGTGCCGAAACCTTCTAGAAACATCCAAATGCAAATTCGGGCATACGCCCGAGTCCAAAATCACCATCCGGACCTATCGGAACCATCAAAACTCCGTTCCGCGGTCAAATTCACAAAAAGTCAAACTTGGTCAACTCTTTCAACTTAAGCTTCAACAGTGAAATTCATTCTTCCAATTCGATTACGATTAACCTGAAAACCAAAACCGACGATTCACATAAGTCATAATACATCATACGGAGCTACTCATGCCCGTAAATTACCGAGCAAAGTGCAACGCTCAAAACGACCGGTCGGGTCGTTACAATCATCAGGCTAAGTAATTTAGTAATTTTATTCGTTTTGAAGGTCTCGCCATATCTGTATAAACAGATAGAAAACAGTTACCCGCAGGTACACTGAGAGAGAGGGAGGGAGGGTTGTTACTATTTTTTGCTGCAGTGAAGATAATCAGAGTGTAATTCAACTTTTTGGCCCGAGGGCCAAGATATGTCTTCTATTTATCCATACAACTAAGATTGTCTGAAACTCAAAAGTACATAAGAGTATCACGTCTATCTGAAACACATCAGATTACATTGGAATTTGTGGGGTTTGAGTTCTTATTTACTTTTCCATTATTTATCTTCTTCCTTAGTGACAACGTTGTTTCATGTTGATAATAGCTGGCTCAAAGTACTGACGTTCTTACTATATTCCAGGATGGCACAGTTGCTTATTTTGCCACAGAAGTTCAAGTTATCATTGTTATTGCTGTGTAAATGCTGTATGCAATCGCTGCATCCTTTATACAGAATTTGCCCGTATTACAGGGAAGTATGGATTCTGCAATGACTGCTTAAAGCTTGCTTTACTTGTGGAAGAAAACATGGATGTTGATTCTGAAGGGGTATGGATGACAATTATGCCTTTATTTCTCAAATTACATGTTTCGCTACTTATTAATTGCTGACTGTTGTTTTGGAATGTTATCTGTGCAACTCATGGAAAATTGACAAAATTCGATAAGTCAATGCCTAGAGCTCTAAGCTTCACAGTATGACATTTTAGAAAAGCAAATACGTTTGTCTTTTATTCGTAAGAGAAGGAAATAAAAGCAAAATGTTGAAGTTTATTTTAGGAAAGTTTCCAGCGTTGCTCTGAGGGGGTGGCTTTACAAAGAATTAACAAGAGAAGAAGGATGTATGCATGGGACTATCATTAGCTAAATTTGAGGGGTGTTGGGTTAAATAATCATGTAGTTGGTTCCTAAAATTTTCTCATGTTAGTCTTCCTGTCACTTGAGCAAGTGTAGTCTATCGAGCAGCATGTGAGGTGATAGTTGTAGTAATTGATGACTTGTGTTACACCGTCTATTTAACAGCTAAATTAAGCTTGGTAATGGTATTGCTCTAGAAAGAGCTAACAAAAGGAGTATGGCTATAGTGATTAGCTAGTTTTGCACCTATTAGATGGAGCAATTTTTTCAGTTAAATTATTAGGTAGAGCAATTATTAGTTGGTAGCAAAACTCTTCCACTGTTCCCAGGTTGCCTTTGGAAGCTACTGAAGGAAGCTACCAAAGTAGAAGTGAGGTGACAATAGTTATAACTAACTATTGTGATTCGCCCTGTATTTAACAACTCCGCGATGTACGCTTAAATATGATATCCTTCAAAGGAAAGTTTACACACTATGGAGATAAGCTAAGAAAGTGTTATGTATGATAATGCCATTTACTGTTGACATGTTAATGTTGATCAGTTGTCCTGAATTTTACCAGAAGAATGAACTTATTATTTGTAAATAGGCACCTAGGTGCATATGCAGAATTACACAGATTACTGTCTCTATCAAGAAAACAAGTTGACAAGTAGATTTTGCATGGATTTTACTTCTCTCTACTCATTACAATCATCTAAATGGTAACATGTATTTACAGGAGTCTTGTTTTTATTATTGCTATTATCTTGTTTCTCTCTTTTGCTCATTTTTGTTTACCTTCTTCTTGGTAAGTATTTGATTGTCATTCCTGTGTGAATGGTTATTAAATTCCAGGAAAGTGTCAACCTTAGAGACCGGGAGACATATGAAGGCCTATTTAGAGAGTATTATGAAACAGTCAAGGAAAAAGAAAGATTTGACAAAAGCAGTCTTTTTGCTGCTAAAAATCGACTGAACAGGGACACTGAGTACCAACCAACCTCTAATTCAGATGAAGGTAGTGAAGAAGAGGATGAGCAGCTGGTTTCTGACTATGAAGGTTGGAATGATGGGAAACCTCACAAGCGAGGATGTAAAAAGAAGAGATGTAAGCTTCAGCAACAAAAATTGCAACGAAAAGTCAAATCGAAGAAAAAGGAATTTGTTGGATGGGGGTCAAAAGCTCTAGTTGACTTTCTTCAGTTTATTGGTCAAGATACTAGTGAAAAATTATCCCAACATGATGTGTCCTTACTAATAAATAACTATGTAAAAAAACATGATCTTTGTGATCCAGTAAAAAAGAGAAGGATAATTTGTGATGCTAGATTACAAACAGTCTTAGGTAAGAAAAAGATTAACATAGGCAGAATATATAAACTCCTTGAAGAACACTTTGCCGAAAATGAGGAGAATTCGGAAGAAGTGGAGCTTGATGATGATCTTGAAGAAGATGACAGGGAAATATTGGTGGCTTCTGAAATGGGCAAAAAGTCAGATCCAAACAAGAAACCAACAAGGAAGTATCTTACTCCAGCTCCGAGTCAATTTGCAGCCTTGGTCCCTGAAAATATCAAACTTGTCTATTTGAAGAAGAGCCTGGTTCTGGAGATGATCAAGCTGCTGCAATCAAATGAAAACAAAATTATAGGAAGTTTTGTTCGGGTGAAGTCAGATCCATGCGATTACAGCCAGAGAAATTCTCATCAGCTTGTGCAAATCACAGGTTGTTTTAACAAGCAACTTCATAGTTTGGTTAGTTTTATTTAGTTGCTGACACCCCTTTGGTAGAATGCTATGCAGAAGTCTGAAAAATGCATGATGAGGATACTTTCTTCCCAACTTTTTGCTAATATGATATCATTTTTGACTAGGCTGTTCCCATATTTCCTTAAGATTGTTTGCTTAGTATAATTTGTGTTTTCATGACATGGATAACTTGTTCAAGCATCTTAACTCTTTATGACTGCACTGCTAATTTTGAAGCTTAATGGCCTCAAGGTTGAGCCCAATCCACTAGTGATATTGTCTGTTTTGGGCTTTGGCCCTCACAACTTTAAAACCTGTCATTAGTTAGTTTCTAAGGCTTGCTTCCTTATATACCCAACATTTCTCCCGTGTTTTGTCAATGTGGAATTTGCTTATAATGTCACATACACCCCCTTAGGACTCGGTGTCCTCACTCCTCACTTACATTTGCCCCACCATCATCTCAAAGATATGGGATTCGCCTAAACTCACTTGAACGCTGAGATTGTCTCGCCATCACCCAAGGTTGCTACAGCCAACCCTTAGTGATAGATATTATTTGCTTTGGGCCTTAGCCAGGGAATCATCTTGTGTATAAATTCGATTCTTAATTGAATTGTAGATCCGAATAAAGAATTTGCAGGTTCCCTCTCTATATTTCTCTGTTTACACTTCCCTTGCAAAATCTGTTCAAGAACTTATGTTCTTCTTGAGTTCTTTAGTATCTTGTACAGCTGATCTCTGTTTGTTCCGGAAATGCTGAGAAGCCATTGCACAATACAGCTACAACTAAATCCGCCCCCCAAGATTTAGATAGAGGGTAATAAATCAGCTAGCTTTTTTTTCTCTCTCTATTTGAAATTAGATCTGGACCCTGGTCTACCATGGCCCACTCCAGCTTATTGGCTGCTAGACCGAAACTTTGTGAAAAATAGTTGTCTTTGAGAAGGTAAAGCTTGAAACTAAACTGACACAAACCAAAGATTGAAGCAACAACAACAACCACACCCCAGTGTAATCCCACAAGTGGCGTCTGGGGAGGGTAGGATATACGCAGCCTTACCCCTACCTTGGAAGGACATAGAGACTGTTTCCGATAGACCCTCGGCTAAACAAGGACGGAAAACCAAAGATTTAAGCAACTTAAATAATTTGGGGAAAGGGTTAAGAAGAAAAAAATCATAGAGATGTTATTCTGGTCCGACTTATACTTAGACCATTATCTTTTGTTAAGAACTAGAATATTATTAATATGATAAGATCCTATTCCTTGTATATATAGCAAAGGTTTAGAATCCATAGTACGTAAATAGGAATAGCAATTACTAGACTTATCAAAAAATAAAAAGGAATAGGAATTACTAGGAATTACTTTTTTTTTTTGGGGTGGGGGGTGGGGGGGGGGGGGTTACTTGCATACTTCTGTTTCCTTTTAGGATTACTTGTAAACACTATATAAACCTCAACATGCTTGCGGGAATAATCACGCAATTTATTCTCAAATCTCTTCTTTCTTTACATCTTTCTTAAGACCTGAAGTTTTCCATACCAATATTGCTTTGCATTATCAGGCATCAAGCAAGGCTCAATTGGTAAGGGAAAAAATGAGACTGTTCTTCAAGTTTCAAATACGTTCAGAGATACTTGCTTGAGCATGCTTTCAGATGATGATTTTACATCGGTATCCTCCTTGATCTCAAGTTCTATCGCTTTAATTACCTTCTAGAACTTTTACAGGATTCTGCAGCTACTAGTATATCCAATGGTTCAGAATATTCTCCATTGCCCGCTCAGAAGCCTCACTGAATTCTGCTGTTACTTTAAGGAGCAAATGTACACGGCACTTGCACAATCGTTCCCATTAACGAAAGATATTGTTGAAGTGTGTGACCATTCTAAAAGTTTAAGCTGTTAAAGAGAGCACACTTTTATTTACTTATTATGTCTTCAACACGCCGCATCATGTGCGAGCTTGATTCTTTTTGATGAGTCAAGCATGTGAAAATTCTTTTTAATATTGGGTCGCAGTGAGACTCAAACCCAGAGCCTCTACCTGCTCTGATACCATGTTGAAGTGTGTAACCATCTCATCCAAAAACTTATGATAAATGGACCTTGGTCCTAACTCAACCTCAAAAGCTAACTCATGAGGTGAGAATTGCCCAAGACTATATAAGGAGACCAAGAAATCCAAACCCCATCGATGTGGGACTCAATACCCCCTACGCCCAGGCATGCAAACTGGAGCATGGACAACATAAATGGGGGACCAACATCTAACAATAAATTGGGATGAGTTTGGCTCTGATACCATGATAAATGGACTTTGGCCTATCAATCCCATAAGCTAGCTTGTGAGGTGAGGATTGTCCAAGACCATATGGGGAGACCAAGAAAACCAAATCCTACCGATGTGGGACTCAACGGATATTAAATGTTGTCCATCGATCTTGCCTTGGATAAACTCTTGTCAGTTTACTAAAATTTTCAAATTGTGAACTGCAAAAACTGATTGGATTTCCACTACTTCAAATTTTGGTGGCAACTGGAGTACTATAATTATGGAGAACTGTAGTGTAGTTGTGAAGAATTGTAGTTGCACTACTACTAATGAATACCTATCCCTACTGTCCGTGAACCTCTTTCAACATAGAACAGAGCATCTACTCTTTGTAAAATTTTAAGTTGTTACGTGTGTTCTTGTGTGCTTAAGGAGCCTTCTTGGCTGTCCCTTAAATGTATTTTGACTTTTGGCATTTCCTTGGCAGGAAGAATGTGAAGATTTAAGAGAGAAGGTGAAAGCTGGCGTACTTAAAAAGCTTACTGTGGTAGGTGCTTTATTGCCTTTTATTTGACATATCTATTACCTTTGATCTTAATCGAGAAACCTTTTCATGTGTAAATGTCTTATTTAGAAATTTTCACCCAAAAGAAAGTTGAATCATCTAAAAAAAGAAGTGCTCTTTCCAGTTGCACCTTAGAGAAAGTGTGGTTCCCAGCCTCATCTCTATTGCTCTTAGCGCTATAAATTGGTATCTCAAATCACAATAGAGAATCCAGGAATAGCTAAGTGATTTACAATCTTCATTCGATTCTAAATCCTTGTCGTATTATGAATGATGTAAAATGAATATCTACTTGCGGAGAGGGTGGTGAGGTATTTTCAGTCGTGGTCTCCAAAGTCACAACAAATATTACAACTACTTGCTATTGTCTCCATTTTTGGTTCGCTACCCCATACTGCCTAGCAAGCTGTGCGCTTCATTTTTGGCTTCCTTTACAAAGAAAAACATGTCTGACTGTAAAATAACACGGTAATGGAGGAATTTGTGTGAAGAATTTTGTGCATACTTGTTAGAATCGAGTGAAGATTCCTTGTCGTATTATGAATGATGTAAAATGAATCTCTACTTGCGGAGAGGGTGGTGAGGTATTTTTCAGTTGTGGTTTCCAGAGACACAGCAAATATTAAATCTACTTGCTATTGTCTTCATTTTTGGTTCTCTGCCCCATACTGCCTAGCAAGCTGTCCACTTCATTTTTGGCTTCCTTTTCTCTTAGATAGTTAGTAGTTGTGTAAATAAATAGAGTCCCACATGGAATAGGATTCTTATATGTATTGGTTATTATAGATTTTTGAGAAAAAGAAAAGGCTTCTTGTATTTCTATGTATTTCTTACATCCCCAAGCAAAGGTATTTATACACTAGATCCTATGACTATTTTAGGAAGGAAAATAAGTTAAAGTCAAATTACAATAAGTCAGAATAAAATCAAATATCAATCAGAATCAAACCTTTCTCAATCAGAATCAAATCTTTCCTAATAATTAAGCCAATCAACACTCCTCCTCAATTTGGTGCAAAGATGTCGCACATGCCTAACTTGCAAACTAGTGTATGAAAAGTCCGTTTGTTGAGACCCTTGGTAAACTCATTACCTAACTGTTTTTCCAATAGCACATGAAACAAACTCAAGACACCTGTTGTAATTTTTTTCTTGATGAAGTGTCGATCAATTTCCACATGCTTTGTTCGGTCATGCTGGACTGAATTATGAGCTATACTGATGGCAACCTTATTGCCCTCAATACAAGGAAAGTTTTCCTTTTTCACACAGTCTTAATTCCTCTAGTAGTTTTTGTAGCCAAAGCAGTTCGCAAACACCTGGGCCATAGCTCTATATTATGCCTCCGCACTTGATCGAGTAACTACACTTTGCTTCTTGCTTCTCCAAGTAACCAAGTTTCCTCCTACGATCGTACAATAATCGGATGTAAATCTTCTGTCATCCAGAGATCCAGCCTAATCCGCGCTTGTAAAGGCTTCTATTTGGAGGTGATCATGTTAGGAGAAAAGTAGACCTTTCCCTGGAGCAGACTTCAGATACCGCAAAATGTGAAAGACAACTTGCATATGAGGATCTCGGGTATCATGCATGAACTGACTCACTAGGCTAACTGAATAGGCCATGTCTGGTCTAGTGTGGAAGAGATAAATGAGTCTTCCAACCAACCTCTGATATCTCTCCTTATCGACTGACTCTCCAACTCCGCTTTGTAACTTGTGATTGCTTTCAAGGGGCGATTTTGCGGGTTTGCACCTGTCATACCAATTTCTTTCAAAAGATCAGAATATACTTCCTCTGAGAAATAAAGATTCCTCTTTTTGATCTAGCAACCTCAATTCCCAAGAAGTACTGCAATTTTCCTAGATCCTTGATCTCAAATTCATGTGCCAACAACTTCTTCAATCGGGGCCATCTCCTCTTTGTCATCTCCTGTCATTACTATGCCATCAACATAAACTATAAGAAGAGTGAATTTACCTGTACGATGCCTTATGAAGAGGGTGTGATCAACATTGCCTTGTTGGTAAGCAAAGGAGATCATTGCTTTGCAGAATCTGTCAAACCAAGCTCTAGGGGATTGCTTCAGTCCGTACAAGGCTTTCTTCAATCGGCATACCTTTCCTTGACTTTGTGCAGTATCAAATCCAGGAGGAATCACCATATACACCTCTTCTTCTAAGTCTCCACGAAGAAATGTATTCTTCACATCAAACTGTTGCAAGTCCCAATCAAGATTAGCTGCACAAAGATGAAAGAATTCTAATAGTGTTCATATTAGCAACAGGGGCAAATGTCTCTTGATAATCCGCTCCATAAGCCTGAGTGAATCCCTTAGCCACTGTTAGATAGTTGTCACAACCCAAACTGATGGGCTGCGACGGGTATCCGGTGCCTTATTCAACCGAGTGCCAACATAACGTATCTTTCGAATCATACGATCATAGGTAAATGAGCCGGAAAGACTGTCATGAGATAACTAGAATAAAGCATGAGAGAATACTTGACATAGGATGACCCAACATGATATACCGACTTTTACATATGACGTACGGGCCTATAAGGCCGGCATGATCCTTTATATACTCAAAACATAGGCCGACAAGGCCATACAAGTATCCATATACATGACATCTGTCTACAAGCCTCTAAGAGTACATAATATCATAAAGGTCGGGACGGAGCCCCACCATACCAATCAATACATGTACTAATCATACTGACCAAATAAGCAACTCTAGAGCAAATGGAGCGCACCAACACCTTCTGCTGAGCTGATAACCTACTTGGAGGACTCTCAACCTGTTTATCGGGACCTGCGGGCATGAAACGCAGCGTCCCCAGGCAAAAGGGACGTCAGTACAAATAATGTACCGAGTATGTAAGGAATAAAAACCAGTAAATAATAGACATGAGAGAAACATGGAGTAAAAGACTCAACATGTAAGTCTGAATAAGTCTGTGGATCATTAATATTTATAATGCCATGCATATGCGTATAAATGTCATACCATGCATAGGTATATGCATACATAACATCATCAAGCCTCCAAGGGCATCCCATCATATCATCTCGGCCACTGTGGGCAAAATCATCAATGTATACCAGGTGATCAGGTGGTGGTGCGTATATAACGCCGTAACCTTTTTCCATATCCCATATACATATATATACATATATACGCGTATATAACGCCATCTGGTCATGGGTCAATGTACATGTATAAATGAATGCAATGCATGAGAAGTACGTCAATAAAATCTTTCGGAATGTCATAAGATCATTATGCCTTTGATTAATATCATGAAGTAAACTTTATCAACTTATGTATTTTCTGAGACCTATGACCAGATGATAGAATAATAGGACACATGGGGAATCCAGAACATGCACATCTCTAGCATTTCTATGAATAGAGTCATTTATGGAAGTTGTGCATTTGCTCGTTTCGTTTGTATCGTATGGATCATGCCAAAAGGAAAGAAGGGATAGCCTTAACATACCTGAGCCGATTCTCTTGACAATCCATCTAACATACGTCAATTGCGAAAAAGACACGTAATGGCGGATCGCAGTAGGGAAAAATCCGTATGATATTTTTGAGAAAGATTGTACCGTACTCCCTTAGAATTGCAAGTCACGTTGCTATTATATAACGTAATCTCGTATGGATTTTTGTTGTAGCTTCATCCGCACTTTGTCATAATCTTCATCCACATTGTTGTAGCTTCATCCGCATTTTTGTTGTAATTTCATAAAGTCATAAGCCTTTTCACTTTGTGAACTTAGAGAGGGCTTCTTAATAGAATCTTTCAACCCAAAAATGAGATAAGGTGCACATGGATTTAAATTGTGCCACCACCTCCTTAAGCATAAGAATAGTTGGTAATTTGTTGCCACACTTTCGTAATCCCACGTGGATAGTTGCCCCCCCCCCCCCCCCCCAATAATTATCCAAATCTCACTTAGATAATTATCCACAACTTCTAATTAATTTGTTAACCTCCCACTCAAATCAATAATTAATCCCTTACCAACATAATTAAGAATTATCTCAAATTACTTAAAATACTACTTACTTTTTATACACCTTACTATCATGGTCATGTGGTACCTTGTATGGCACTAGTCCATAAATACGGGGTATTATAGCTTGGACCGTATTTTATCTCAAAATGTCAAACTTCGACGAAATTCATTTTATTCGATTCGCTTACCCTCTCGCCTTCACGAATTTACTTATCACTTGTTTGAAATAGCGTAATACTTATATCCTCAAAATAATCTTGTTCGAGTCTACGTCGATTAACTTACGATGAAACTTTAAATAACATCTCATTTCTGAGCTTTCATCAATTTACTTATGGCGTACTTTCACGTACGAAAACATGGGGTGTAACAATAGTTATGTGTAAATAGTCCTAGTCCTATATGTAGTAAGAGTAGAATATGTCCTAGTCCCATATGTAGTAGGAGTAGAATATGTCCTAGTCCTATATGTAGCAGGAGTAGAATATGTATTATATATAGGGCTCATTGTATAAACCATACAAAGACTCTTTCAAATGGAAAACTTTCTCGTACTCCCCTTGAGCAACAGACCAGGTGGTTGATCTATATACATTTCCTCTAGGAGATCACCATGGCAGAATGCATCTTTTATGTCCAACTGGTTTAATGGCCAGTTATGGGAAGCAGCTAGGGAAATAAACAAGGGAATATATGTAGTTCCTGTCATCTTCATATGTTAACATGGATAAGTTTTTGTAAATGAACAAAGACGAGACTTGGTTCGGAAGTGCATTAATTGCAAGTATTAAAGATAGAGTAGAACTGAAGGTGGAACATATTATTCACAACAACTGTTTAAAGTCAGCTGAACGATTTGATTGATTAGTGGGTAGATAGGATGGTGCACTCTTGCCCATGTGAAACAGTGAGGCAAATCTCCTCCTTTACCATTGCATGAACCTTTCTTTGTAGTTCTATTTTTAATATGTGGGGGATCCTTCTATATTTATCTCATTACAAAGAAATGATAGGTGTTTTGAAAATAGGAGTTCTTTACAGAAAATTAAGCTTAACATATTTTGTCCTCTCATTTTTGGTGTAAAGATTTGTGTAGATGAAACTGAGACTTCATTACAGTTTTTAGAGTCCTTTTAAGAAGAATCTTGGACAGATATAACTAGGTCTGGTTTTTTTTTTTTTTTTTTTTTTTTTTTTTTTTGTAATTGTGATTTCCAGCACAAGCTTTGTGCTGATGAATAACTGTTACCTTTATAAAAAAACAAAAAACAAAACACAAAAGCATAAATCTCTGAGTTTGGCACAACATGCATATTCATGTATATTCCAGTTCTCTTTAGAATAACCATAACCCTGGATACTGCTTTGCAGGTGGAGCTCGAACAAAGGGCTAGAGTTCTCCACGAGGATATCACAAAGCATGTACAGTTACAATCTTAGTAAAATATTCTTAAAATCATGGTAGTTTATTTCGCCCCTGCTTGAATACGGCAGGTTCTAGCTGTATGTACTTTTTACCTCTACTGTTGTGAGATTACAGGATATGATCGTGCAAAATAGATCACAATATCTTAAGCTCTTGCTCTTTTAATTTGCAAGCTCATATTTGACGCTATGTAACTTCTACTTTAGACTGGTTCACAATCTGCTTTGTAAGAATTAACATTCCCCTCAACTTTTTAATTTCTTAAGACTCTGGGTTCCGTTTTCAGTAAATTTCGTCCTAATAATTTGTATGAATATGCTTTTATATATCTATCCATGCATAAATGAATATCTTAGTGGGGAGGAGATGATGAGAGAGTGACTTTCTACATGTCTATGTTTTTTTTTATGTTTTCATGTTACCGTTGCATATTCCTTTACGGCCCTGATGCTCTACATCCAACCTTTAATAGCTTGCATATTCCTTTACGGCCCTGATGCTCTACATCCAACATTCAAGCATGCCTTGTATGGGTAAAATATCATTGTAAAGCACCAGATAGAAAAGGCTTTATTATCTCCACAAGTATCAAGCACCTTTGTATTCTACCTGCTTATATTTGGCATGCTTCCAATTTCCTTGACTTTGTTACTTAAAAAGCTCACAGTGCAGGTATATTTGTCCAAAGTCACATGAAAATGCCAATGCCAACTGTTTATTGCTATATTTTCATCTATATGTTTTGCAATAGATATCTGATCCCACCTTTGTACTTATTGGTTTATTTTACCCCCTCCCCTTCCATGTCAGTGGATTGCTCGAAAGCTGTCTTTGTTGAAGAAACTCATTGATCAAGCAAATGAGAAAGGATGGAGATACCGATATCCTTTTCTGCCCTGTCCAAACTACAAATTGAAGGGATAACAGCTATATGTATTCTGTAATAGAGTAATTAAAAAAAACTAAGGCCAGAAGATTGGCTTGGAGTTGGAACCAAAGCTTTTTGTGAACACTTGCCAGTACGACTTATGTGGATCATTGTTTCTATTCATTGTGTCTAGTCATTTTTCCCCTCCTTAGAGCTTGAGGTGTGACCCATTCCTCTAAACAAGGAAACTGTTGCCTTAACCCCTTTTTGTCTTTACATTTTGTGAGTATATGGAACAAAAGAAGCGTCTAGAGAATCCATCAGAACAGTCGCTATTGCTACAAAATTTTCCCGCAGTGACTCCTGATGTAGCAGAGCTTGAACCTTTTGCTGAGCACAAGAGCCATGACGAGCAGGAGCATCAATGCTTACATGAGACAACCCCTTCCAAGGTTGTCAACGGTAAAGAGGAAGACAGAGAAACTTACTCAGGTATGATTATATTCTAGAGGTTAAGAACTTGATGAATTTCTTTTTCTTTGATGAAATTGTTGTGTAGCCTCATAAGAAAATTTGTGAGCTCTTATCTAACCTTTACTAGCTCTCATCTCAGCGGCACCAAAGAAGACAAAATGTCCATCGGTTTTGAAATTCTTACCTTGATATTTGAGTTCCATATTTTCTTTGTAATATTAAAACCAATTACAATATATTGTTTTAGGTAGCTCAGATTAGCCAATTGAATTGATTTAAAGTTGTATTTGCTCATATGTATATAGTTTGTGTTTTACAATTTAAAGAACCTTCTATCCCCTTGACAATCTTTTTGCCGAACATTTGGTTATTTGCATAGAACTAGACAAGTAGAACTCCAAGTTTAGCAATCTTTAAAGCTATTTTTCCTGTTGCGTACAAAATGATGCGTGCAGTGGGTAACATTGAAGCATTTTCAAACTAAAATTACAGAACCAATTTGGAAAATATTCTATATCTTTTTGTAAATAAAAATCGTTTTTGTAACATAGTGCTTTTCTAACTTTTCAGAAAAGAACGCACAGCAGTATCATGCATACTCTCCAGAAGAAAAGGCTGAAATTAATGTTTTAGAAGAGCCTCATCAGTTCACAGCAACTGATCCAAACAGATCAAAAACATCCTTACTGCAAGAAATCTCAGAGCTTAAAGCAGCTTCTCAAAGTGAAGTAGATGCTTCGCTTATTAGCAATAATGATCTAAAGGTGAATCAGCAAATGTATGCTAATATGGGACCAAAAAAAGTAGAAAGTCAGGAGCTGGAAAGGATTGAAGTTATTGATTTGAGTAGTGATGATGAGGCCAAATTGGGTGTTGCAGCTGAGGATCCAGACAAGCGTATATGGCATATTTCTGGCCAAAATGAAAAGTATTCACTGTCATTGCTTAAACGTTGGGTTGAGAAGACTCCTTCTGCATGTAAGTTCAAAGTCTGGAGAGAAGGTCAAAGTGAAGAAAAGACTATCTTGTTGAGCAAAGCTATAAACCTGGTTTTACCAAGGAAATAGGCGTCAAGATGCCAGTAAAAGTATCGAATCTTATGAGAGGTATTTTGTACATAAGGACTCTGATCAAGCTGGCATTTTGATGTCTTCTATGTAGATAACTATAGTAGGTTTTCCAACCATCTTTGTGCCTGAACCGTAAGATCCGCCTGTAGGGAAATTGTTGCAAGTGTATAGTGAGGGCACGCGTGAGGCCAAGTACATACCAGATGCAAAGATATCACCATAGATACAGTTTGTGTCACCTAGCACCGATAGAGGAAACTTTATTCTTCTTTTCTATTTTCCTTCAGTACATTACATGGTCTAATCTTCTCTTATTTAGATACCAGATGCTGCAGTCTGCATCTAACAATGTGATGGATCATAGTTTATTCAACAATGCCTTGCGAAAACTCGGCAGATTTTGCCTTTTGTGTAAGTGGGAATGTACAAAATGAAGATTGTTCATGTAATTATCAGTTGATCCTGACATGCCCTCCAGGTTATGAAACAGCTTTACTTTTAATTTTGATATCAATGAAGAGAAGTACTAGTTCTCTTGATTATGAAAAAGTTGTTGGCGTTTGTTTGAAGTTTTCCCAAACCTGAGTTTGTAAACTCAGTTTAGACGTTTATTGAGTAAGTTGTTGTTTGGGCTCTATTGCAACAAGAGAGAAAAGGTAGCTAAACCTTTCTTAAGTGCTTATACTGAGCATGGATTGGTAACATGAATTTGAGTCGGGGTGTACATAGGCTGGGTTGGCTCGGGTTTTTCAATTACCAAACCAAACCAGTTGTCTCGGATTTTTAAATGTGTAAATCAAACCAAACCAACAAAAGTCGGGTTTTTCAATTTCGGGTTTTCTTGGATTTTTCGGTTTTCTCGGGTTTTTTCGGATAACATCTTCATAGCATAAAATATATAATTTGTGCTCTAATATTTCTCAGGTCCTAGTAGAATAAAACTATATAAGATATTTTTCAAGAAAATACAAAATAATGTGAGATGAGGTCATGATTATACTAAAATACTCAACAAGTCGCATAAAATAAATATTGTTAATTAAGAAGCCATAATGAAAATAAACATAATCTAAAATTACTATGTCATGCTAAAATAAATACTAGTAAGTATTAGTTACATGACTATGTGAGAATGCACGGGAGAAAATATTATTGATTAAATTATGACAATGATACAATGAGCCCTATTTATATATAATACATGTCCTACTCCTAATATATATGAGATTAGGGTTATTTACTACTATTTAACTATCAAACTAACACTCCCCCTAAAGCTGGTGCATATAAATCATATGTACCGAGCTTGTTACATATATAACTAATACGAGGACCAGCGAGGGACTTGGTGAAAATATCAGCAAGCTGATCATTCGACTTCACAAATTTTGTAGCAATATCTCCCGAGAGTATCTTTTCTCTAACAAAGTAACAGTCAATCTCGATGTGTTTAGTTCTCTCATGGAACACTGGATTTGACGCAATATGAAGAGCAACTTGATTATCACACACAAGTCCCATCTGACTAATCTCATCAAATTTCAACTCCTTGAGTAACTGTTTGATCCAAATTAGCTCACATGTCGCCATAGCCATTGCTCGATATTCTGCTTCTGCACTAGACCGAGCAACCACATTCTGTTTCTTGCTCTTCCAAGATACCGAATTTCCTCCTACTAAGACACAACATCCCGACGTAGAACGTCTATTAGAAGGTGATCCTGCCCAATCAGCATCTGAGTATCCAACGATCTGCTCATGACCTCAATCCTCAAACAATAAGCCTTTGCCTAGAGCTGATTTTATATACCGAAGAATGCAGACAACTGCATCCCAATGACTATTACAGGGAGAATCCATAAACTGACTCACAACACTCACAGGAAAGGAAATGTCAGGTCTAGTCACTGTGAGGTAATTTAATTTACCAACCAACCGCCTATATCTTGCAGGATCACTAAGAGGCTCCCCCTGTCCTGGCAGAAGTTTAGAATTTGGATCTATCGGAGTGTCAACAGGTCTACAACCTGTCATTCCCGTCTCCTTAAGAATATCTAAGGCATACTTCCGTTGTGAGATCACAATACCTGAGCTAGACTGAGCGACTTCAATACCCAGAAAATACTTTAATATGCCCAGATCCTTAGTCTGGAAGTGCTGAAAGAGATGTTGCTTCAACTTACTAATACCATCCTGATCATTGGCGGTAATAACAATATCGTCAACATAAACGACCAGATAAATACAGAGATTTGAAGCAGAATGTCGACAAAATACAAAGTGATTAGCTTCACTACGAGTCATGCCAAACTCCTGAATAACTGTACTGAACTTACCAAACCAGGCTCGAGGAGACTGCTTTAGACCATAGAGGGACCGACGCAACCGACATACAAGGCCACTAGACTCCCCCTGAGCAACAAAACCAGATGGTTGCTCAATATAAACCTCATCCTCGAGGTCAGCGTGAAGAAAAGCATTCTTGATGTCCAACTGATAGAGAAGCCAATGGCGAACAACAGCCATGGATAGAAAAAGGCGTACTGATGCAATTTTAGCCACGGGAGAGAAAGTATCACTGTAATCGAGTCCAAATATCTGAGTATATCCTTTGGAAACAAGACGAGCCTTAAGTCGATCAACCTGGCCATCTGGACCAACTTTGACTGCATACACCCAACGACAACCAACAGTCGATTTACCCGAAGGAAGAGGAACAAGCTCCCAAGTACCACTCGTATGTAAAGCAGACATCTCGTCAATCATAGCATGTCGCCATCCGGGATGAGACAGTGCTTCACCTGTAGACTTAGGGATGGAAACAGAGGACAAAGATGACACAAATGCATAATGGGATGGCGAGAGATGATGGTAACTTAAACCGACATAATGAGGATTAGGATTAAGTGTGGACCGTATACCTTTTCGTAGTGCAATCGGTTGATTAAGAGGAGACAAGTCCGCAATATTAGCAAGGTCAGGTGCAGGACGCGAATCAGGTGGGCCTGATGCTGGGTGCGGACGACGATGATAAATTAGGAGTGGTGGAGCTGTAGAAGGTTGAACTGGACTAGGTGGTGGCACTGGACCTATGGTTGGTGGAACTGGACTAGGTGGTGGCACTGGAGATATAGGTGGTGGAGCTGCAACCGGAACTGTAGGTGGTGGAGCTATGGAGGAAGATGAATGTGAGATAGGGACTGAATCTCCAAAAGAAGGAACTAGTAGCACCTCAGAAATATCTAAGTGATTAACTGGACCTGTGAAGTATGATTGAGTTTCAAAGAAGGTAACATCAGCAGACATAAGAAATCACTGAAGGTCAGGAGAATAACATCGATATCCCTTTTGCGTTCTCGAGTAACCCAGAAATATGCACTTAAGAGCACGAGGAGCTAACTTATCTTTTCTTGGAGTAAGGTCATGAACAAAGCACGTACTCCCAAAGACACGGGGTGAAAGAGAGAACAAAGGTAAGGGGGAAACAGGACAGAGAATGGAACTTGATTTTGGATAGCTGAAGATGGCATACGATTAATAAGATAACAAGATGTAAGAACTGCATCTCCCGAAAAATGCAACGGAACATGAGATTTATGAGCAAGGTACGGGCAGTTTCAATAAGATGTCTATTATTTCTTTCAGCTACCCCATTTTGTTAGGATGTGTACGGACAAGATGTTTGATGAATAATCCCATGGGAGTTCATAAACTACTGAAACGGGGAAGACAAATACTCTAGGGCATTATCACTACGAAATGTGAGGATAGAAACCCCAAATTGATTCTGAATTTCAGCATGGAAGGTCTGAAAAATAGAAAAAAACTCAGATCGATTTTTTATAAAAAATATCCAAGTGCACCTGGAATAATCATCAATGAAACTGACAAAGTAGCGGAATCCCAAGGTAGAACTGACCCGACTAGGACCCCAAACATCTGAATGGACTAAAGTAAAAGGTGACTCTGCTCGATTATCAAGACGCCGCGGGAAATGGGAGCGAGTATGCTTACTGAGCTGACATGACTCACACTCTAGAGTGAACAAGTGAGATAAGCCAGGTACCATTTCTGAAGTTTTGACAAACTGGGATGTCCTAACCGTTTATGTAATAAATCTGGTGAATCAGTAACGGGAGAAGTTATTGGAGGAAGACAAGATGCAAGTCCATGTGATTTTGCAAGGATAAGGTAATAAAGTCCATCTGATTCTCGTTCGGTACCAATGATCCGCCCTGTACTGCGTTCCTGTATAAAAACAAGGTCATCAAGAAATAAAACAGCAGATTTAAGGGATTTGGCTAAGCGACTAACGACTATGAGATTAAAAAGACTACCAGGAACATAAAGAACGGAGTCTAAAGGTAAGGAAGGAAGTGAACTTGCTTGACCTATTGCAGTTGCCATGGTTTGAGACCCATTGGCCATTGTAACTGTTAGAAGAGATAGAGAATATGAAATACTAGTGAAAAGAGATTTGTTACCAGAAATATGATTAGATGCACCTGAATCAATGACCCAAGACTCAGAAGGTGAAGATTGGGAGACACAAGTCATGCTACTATTTGTTGGAACAACGGAGACTAATCCTGAAGATATCTGTTTACGTGCTTTGTACTGAAGGAACTCAATATAATCTGGTAAAGAAACCACCTGGATGGGATTCAGTGCATTGGATCCAACGGATTGTGAGTTAAAGGCTTCCGATACGAATGCCATTATAATATCGTGCAGGAAAAAGCAGAAATTTTCTGGGGGATCACTGTTCACGCCGGAAAAATCACTGTAGCTCGCCGGAAAAACTCAAAGTGGTCGGAATTTGATTGGGACTAGATGGGTAGGCTCGGAATTGTGAGGAGAGAAAGCTAAACTGAAGGAATTTCGCGAAAAAGTGGCCGGAAACAGTGTCACGCGCTGGCGCGTGGGCGTCGGAGCTTCGCCGGGAAATTGCACGGTAACTAGGTCTTTCTTCCCAGAGGCCGTTGGAATGATGCACATCGATAATTTTCTCACTGAAGCTCTGATACCATGTGAGAATGCACGGGAGAAAATATTATTGATTAAATTATGACAATGATACAATGAGCCCTATTTATATATAATACATGTCCTACTCCTAATACATATGGGATTAGGGTTATTTACTACTATTTAACTATCAAACTAACAGACTAAATAATGATAAAAATAAGTTATGCATTTCACTATCTAAACCAATGAAATAGTAAAAGAATAAATATACAATACTATTGTCATTACTACTTCCTAGTATTGATCGTTTTTTTTTTAAAAGCATTAGTATTGATTTGATTTTGCTTAGAGCTTTATTTGAGTTACTACTTTTATGGGCTATAAAACATATTTGACCATTCAAAAATTCTAAGTTCTAGCTTGAAATATTACATTAAAAGAGAGAACTATGAAAAAGTTTAAAAAATATTTATAAATTATATTACAATAATTATT